ACTGATTTGTTTTCCTTTTTGTGCAAATCGTGTTTGGCCTCTTTGTCTCGTCAGCCATCAGCACAGTCAAATGCTTTTTCAGGGAATGAGTGTGATGTTTGTTGTGTGTAGGGAGGTGGGTTTAAAGGGAGGCAATGAAGGCATCTTTGTTCACCACACATAAGATACTAGTGTTCGGCTTTGCTTGTTATTTGTGTGAAAAGGCAGTTTGTTTAGGCCAGCGTGTGCGTGTTTCTCTTTTTTGTGTGTGTGAGGTTCATTTACTAGTGTTCCTCTGATTGAGTCTGAACACGTCTGTGAGCATAGTGCATAGCATAGTTAAAGTTAAATGTGTGATGGCCATTAAACTCCGCCATTAGGATTCAAAAAGAATTTGAACCATAAATATAGCCTACACATAATTATTTGCTTATTGCAGTCCAGCATAGCTGCACAGACACCTAGCGCACACAAACACACCCACACACACACGCCATGTTTGACTCTGTGCCAACAGTTATTGAAGAAGTGTCTCAGACAGAAAGACTGTAAGAAGGCTGACAGATTGTCTGATGGACAGAAGGAGGCGTGTACAAATGAACAAAGAGATGAAGGCAAATATAATTCTTCTTACCATTGAGAATAATAACCATGCTTTTTCTGAATATACAAACTTATGTTGCAATTATTTTTCTCCAAAAGCAGCCAAAAATATTTTTGAAATAATTATTTGATGTGATTGTCTTTGGTTTTGGCATATTAACTAGGTGAAAACAGTTTAGGCTTGAAGAACAAAGAAAGGAGGGTTGGGCTTCAGCTTCACTCCCTCCCCACCCAGAGACCACCTGTGTCTGCTCGCTATCAACAGACCAAGAAAATAACCTGTTGATTACAGATCACGTCAGAACACAGTTAACTCATTTTTATCATATTTGTGCCTTTTAAGAATCCCCTTGGAACCCTGTGTTTTTATGGAAAAATCCTGAACATTTCAAATGAATACAGTGGGGAAAACGAACAAACATGAAGAAAACAGACTTTCTGATTAATATGTTTGCATCGAGCAGGATTGACAAGCCTCTAAAGCTTTATAGGTGTCTGTGTGTGACTCAGGGGCACTGGCACAGCAGATTGCCACATGCTGCATGATAGGCCAGTAGCTCATCAATGTAACCCTAACTAGACAGTGACAGAAATCACTGATGCATTTTTCTGAAAGGGAAAACAGCTCACAAAAACAGTCGCTGTTCAGTACAGACAGGGAAAAAGCCGAGTGTCGGGCAGATGCAGAAAGACAGATACTTCATACAAAGAGGAAATTGGTCAGTTAAAAAAAGCGTGAGTAATGCTGATGTCTGTTGCCATGGTGATTGGGGGGTCAATGAATGGTTGCCATGGAGCCCACCACTTGGAATTATGGGAGATACATTTTTTTTATGTACGCCTATGGTCTAAACTTGTTGGTGGAGGATGATAAATACCAGTGTTCTGTTATTTTTGTCCATGTACATTTTTAAAGCTATGTATATTTATGCTCTGGGGTGTTCATAACAGAGTTAACCCACAGCAAACAAAAAGATATGCTCTGCATGCAACAATAAGTATTGAGTAAACATGTGATTTTCATTTTATTAAGGATTTTATAATTACGTGTTTGCATTACTCTTTAACATAAAAAGTATATTTTGATCATTTGTAAGATTTTGCTGAGCCTGTGAAGAGATGCTCACTTTGGACTGATAGAAATATCAAACCCATGGCGCCACAGCCAACATGAAACGGTGTCAGACAAATTAGCATGTATTCGTGTATCAGCTACATGTCAGACACAGACATGTCTGTTCCCCATGATGCCGGGGTAATCAGTGTGTCATTAGAGTGTGCAGCTGAGCACAATTCTGCATTGACATGAAGCTGTTACTACAGGAGTGAAATAGGCATGAATTATTTGATTTTTAAGGTTGATTTCTGTAATTCTGTGATTACAGGCATACAATAGCTGTGTTAGAATAATTATCCAGCTTTCTTGCAAGCAGTTTACTACACTGTAGTAAGAGCCCAAAACATGTCAAGTCTAATGGGAGTGCAATTGGCAGACTGCATGTTTACCTACCAATTTTGGCTTTTCTATGGGTAAGAGCTCCTTCATATAACCATGTAGTTCATAGGTTTCTGGGTCAGTGTGTATATGTGCGTGTCTCATTCTTTTATTTATTTATTTTTCTGGATCTGTAGTCATGTGTGTGAAAAAAGACACAGTACATTCCACCCAGCAGAAACTAGTTTAAGATGGGGGCCATCACCGCCTGCTGAGCTCAGTCAAATGAACAAAAAGAAATCAATAACAAAAAAAAAAAAGATTCATCAGTCATGCATTTTTTTCAGTCATGCAGTTTAAAAAAAAAGCTTGCTTGTATTTAGTTAAGCCACACTGATCAAGATCAATTGAAAAGGCGTGCATATTTTAGGTCAGAGGCTCTGATAACAGGTGGCGCACAGGTTGACCTTTAGGGAACACGTGAGGGAACACGGTCATACACAGACTTTGCATTAGATGGATTTGATGACATGCTGCATTTATTTGTTAAAAAATGCTTTTAGTTTATTCTCTTTAGGAATTGTTCTCTTATTTATCGGGCTTGGATTTTTCAGAATTGTTGTTCTGTTTTATTTTCTTATATTGATGATTTTTTCATACGTGGAACGCTGATGTATTTTGCATCTAAGCTACTGGGTTTTTATCTAAGAAGCTGCTGTTTCCTCTGCCTCTGTACCTCTTCTCTCTGTTCTTTCACTGATGCACGTGTGTATCTAATACTGTGTGACATGCTGAGTCTTGAAGAATGGAAGGGTTGGCTGTGTCATGGGAGTGTGCATGACTACGAGGGCAATCGTGGTGAAAGCCATGTGAGCTTCATGGTATAGCTCACCCACAAGAATACACTTGGATAGATAGTAGTAATATTGAATTGGAGGGCACATGGACCTAGTGCACACGAGTCTCCCATCCCCCTCATTACTGGTGATGTCAGAGTATGTAGTGTATGCTACCACTGCCAGTGCTTATGTGCCCAACCCCCATTCTGAGTGGCCTGCATCATCATCGTCACTATCATCTGGAAGGCTGATTTGTCGCGTTGCTTCAACCTTTACACACACATACCCTCAGGATGCAAGTGTCATTTGGACTAAATATACATTTAATCCATTCTCCCATCCTATGCAGGTTATTTAGCAACTTTACCCATAATCCTCCTTGGGAGTCGTGCTTCATTTCAATTGAATCCCCTCACTCTGATGGCTCAACTAGAGGAAAGATCATTACTAGCTATGATACCGTACAAAGAGGCAAATAAGGACAACCTCACTCACACGCAATTATTTATTGTGCGGGCGTCCTTTGGTTTGACCTCTCAGAAACTAACACAGGTGCATAAAACCAGTTTCAGAAGTGATAAGCAGCGCCCTACCCCTTAGTGAACTTTGATCAATACTACATCGACAGCTGTTCATATAAAGTGTTGCCTGTACATCCTCATCATCCAATTTCAGTCAATGTTTATGGGCAGCGAGCGCTGCCTGACTTGTAATGAGCTTAGTCTTCCCCAGATTGAACAGCTGGTTGAGAGTCAGTGTATGGGTTCGGAATGACTGATTTGACCCGACGGTTGTGAGAGGATGTTGAGCGATGCAGGGTGGTGTAAAATTCTTAAGGCATATCCAGCATAACAGCAGCTGAGGATATCTGTCTGAAATGATACCGGACAGCACCTGTGTAAACTGTGTATTCTGTGTAAACCGCACAGAATCCTTATTAGAGGCTGTCTGCCTCTGTTCCAGTTTCTCTTTTTAAGTGCTTTCTGTTGCTCATGTGATAGTGGAGTAAATTTCAGTATCTACTGCATAGGCGACATGTGTTTTGGATCATGGATAGAAAGGAGAAGAGCACGGCAGGTGCGTGTACGGCAGCAGCATCTCCTAGCTGCAGGGGATTTTTTACTATGTGGGATTTTTTATCATTCCGATTACATACATTTGTATTTCTATTAATTTTCAATAGTTTCTTCCTGTCTTTTATTGAATAAGCTTTAAACCACATGTGCTTTTTAAAGGACTTAGAGAGGCATGTCCGAGAAATAAGATTAAATTTGATTTAATATAACCTTAAGCACAGGACACATACAAACTGATCAGGGATGAGTCTGAGTCTGTGTCTGCTTATACACTAATGGAGGATGACCCCAAGGGGGAGGAGAGGAGGATGCTGAAAGCTCATCACCCACCCAGACCACCTGACGTACTCCTGCTGAGTTCCATCAATTCTAATCATTCTCATGATAGACCAACATTGCATTGGAAAGTCAGAGAAAATAGTTGTGAAATCATTTTCTGCGCAATTGCAACTTGGGTTCACCAAACGCTGTCATATTTATACCTTTTCTGATTTACTCCTTCCTTTATGATGTCGCCTTATGGAGACTGAAGTACTGGGTCATGTCTCTGCATGATGTCATTCATTGATTTTTACTGCTCCGCTTTGACCACTGATCTTCCAGAGTGATGCCTCTGCCAATCTAATCATCAGGATTAATGCCCCAACCTGAGAGGCAGTGATGTTTCATGACTAATTGCAGCTTCGTTTGTTGTGGGCTAAAGTACAGATATTGTAATTGCTTCAACATTGTCCTTCGTGGCTGCACACTAATACAGTTAATTATTCATACATCCTGTGTCTTTACAGTTTGATCCTTTGACCTTGTTGTTATCTGCCTGATGTTTCCCCTGTTTCTGTGGGTTGTTACAGACACGAAAAGCTTGAAACCCTTGAAACAGTGGCCGCTTTTCTGGTTGGTTCTCATGAGTTATAGTGGTTTACATCTAATTCAAGAAACTCTCCCAAACAAGACATTGATTCTTGCCCTGACCGTGTTTTTTAGTGTAACATGTGATTCTTTTTCTCAGAAATGGCATTAAAGAAGAGTCGATCTGATTAACTGTGTGGCTTTTTGTTCTCTCTGAAGGGCTGGAATCGATGATGTGGAGACAGATGTGGTGGAAATTGAAGCAAAGCTTGACAAGGTATGAACCGTGAACTTAAAATGTATGGTTTTAAGTGATTGTTCAAATGTTTAACCACAATTTTCATTACTTAGCATCCAAAGTACAATGTGGCACATTTCTTTTCTTGTGCTGGAACACTTTATATGAAGAACTTTTGGATACGGTTTGCACTTGTGTGCATGTGTAGGTTGGTACACAGCAAACCCAAAGAGAAAACACTGATTAATTCCACATAAGCAGCTATTGTGTGGTATGAAATCCCAGCACAGTACAGTCTGTAATCCAGAAATGGGAGTTTTTTTTCTTTGTACAAGTATTAACAGCAACTGCTTTGGGTTTGTGAAATATGAAACAAGGCAGTCGAGCAATTTAATTCCCAGGAGACCTCATATTTCTGAGGTTTTATCTGATTTAAAAAGCTTTGTCAGGGCGTTCCTTTTGAGAAATGGCCACAGCGACCAAAAAGATGAGCATTACTTCCTTGTTGAGGCAAAAATTGTAAAAGTACATGAAAAGCAAACAAGATAAAACTTAAAAAATATGGTAAGTTGGAGAGACTGCAGAATATGAGTGTGTTACTATGATGTCAGACATTACTATGGGGACCACACCTTCTTACAGGAATGAATCTGAGGAAAGGTCCAACCGTTTATCTTCCACAGCCAGAAGATGATACACCAGATACAATATCATCACTTTAGATCACACATAGCAGTTGAGTTGTTTGGCTTCTTTGTATTACATTTTCAGGTTTATTATGTTGTCAGATATTGTCTGCATCTCTTTTTTAAATTATCCAGCAAACTAACAGGACACTCAGCAACAGATGACTTAAGCACCCAGTGGGTCAGGAACGTCTACTGAACTTTGAACTCCGCTTGATCACCACTGGCAGATGAAATGGGTCAGAGGGCAGATGTTTGACAAGCCTCCATCAGGCTAATTTGTCCGTAGCACCCTAACAGAGCCGCCTGGTCGGACAGCAGTGAGAGCTCACAGAGGGCGTCAGCATAATTCATTAAGACTGAGCAACTCTCATAAGTTTAAAAACATCTGCTGTCAGCTGTGTTGTTTCTTGTTTTTAAAATGTCCTCCTCATCCACATGCAAAACAGTGTCAATTCTATGGACTACTTTTAGTGGTGTAGAAAAATGGAAAAGTCTCCATTCAGCACCTCATTTCCCTATAGACACTGTGTAAGTACACAGTAGCTGTTTTGATAAGTTCACACTGCAGGGTTTGTCATGTGTTACCAGATGTGGCATTTTGGCCCCAAGTGGAACTATGTTTTTCTTCCACTCCATTTATTAAGAAGAAACCCAGACACATGTACTGTCCATTTAATGGCCACGCTCACACCCTGTGGGTACAGTGCAGCACACAATTAGATCAGATTCACAAATAAGCAAAGTTGTTGACATGTACTAGGTCTTGTCAGACTTGCCTGGAAGGGGCGTTGGTGTTGAGCTCACCATGTATTTTCTGTGGCTGCATTCATGTGTACTTTGTGATCCACCACGAGGGATTTTATTAATATGTATAGAGAATACATGCTTTATACAGTATATGATAAATGCAACACACACTTTAAACCAGCGGCACACTGTAGCCTTCTTCACACTGTTGGCCTGCACACATTAGAGGACCTACTGTCAGCCGCCCAGAAAACCACACTCACATAGCGACAGCCTTGGGAACTCCTGCACCAAATAAGATAATGAAAGGTTTACTGCACTCTCTCTTTACCATGCTCCATGTCCCCTCAACCTCAGACACACACGCACGACTCCATGTGTGCACAGCTGAATTAGTGCTCTGGTAATTACAGTGCACCATTCTGTCGCTTCTCATGTTTCCCTTTAAAGTAGGGAAGTCCAGCAGTTGGGAGTTTAGATGGTGTTTAAGTATGTACATACAATCAGTAGAGCTGTCTGTGCCTGGTTACATTCATTTGTTATTAGCTGTCATTATATTAGCTTATGCGGTGTTGCGTGAATCACATCTACTGTATCATTTGTGTATCACATTACTTACAGCAATCTTTTTTAACACAGCCTCCTTCTTCTTTTCGTGCGTGCATGTGTCTGGGGCTGCTTGTGCCAGCCTGTCAATTGCATGGTCCACCACTCTGGTTAACTCCGAAATGATATGCATTTATTCTACTCAGATGTTGACATGTTTGGTCATTTTTGTCACATCTTCACATTCTACAGACTTCCCCCATTTTTCAAATTGGGTAATTTTCTGCTTATTGTGGTGAAGGAAGTGTGAAAATGTGATAAAATATAGGGATTGATATGCAATAAAGCCAGAAGATGAGCTTAGCTGCCAAGGATCTGCCCACATGATAAACACATTACATTGTTGTCACTTAAAGTTTACAAGACGAAAATATAACTGAGGATATGATGTATCATCTTTAAACAGCTCATATTGTTTTATATAAATAATTGAATGATCCAACTTCTCACCATATCTAAAAGTTAGGGGAAAAGTAAAAAAAGGTGAGAGGAAAAAGGTGCTTTCTCATAAATAAATTATAACGTGCCAGGTGTATAGAACGTCATTTAAACCAGCCCACCTTGTGCAATCTTATAATAAATGTTCTGCTTACATATTCATTCCTCAGTAATTACTAGTTATCGACTCCATTTCTCATGTCTTGCTGCACATCCTCCCCTTGCACCTTAGGGTTTTCCACCACAAAAGAGAAGGAGTTAGTGGAGGAGACTCAAGAAGAGGGCTGTTGAGCCAAGAGATTTTTCACAGCATCAAATAATTTCCCTTTTGTTTCAACATTTTAAACTGAGCTCAAACGCAAAACCAAATTTGACTTACCTATGTGGTCATTCTGTTGTTTTGTTATGGCCCGTTGTTTCAGTTGAATGTCCCTTTTCCATTTTCTGTTTTATGACTACGGATGTATGCACTTTAAATTTCACTTACAGTGCGCAAAAATGTGGCACATTGCAGGTGCTAAAAAGAATAACACCTGTTAATCCTTGTGCTGTGCCTCAGTGAGGCACCCTCTGTCCTCACTTCTTGTGCTGCCGCAGTTCCTCACTTAGACACCACGGGATGCATTTGCACCCACAAAGAGAAACCACAGCTATGTGTGGTTTTGTAAAAAAGGAACAAATATGTGTTCCACTAAGTCTTACACAATAGTTTTGGTTAAGATCGCATGTATGACGCCCTGCATTTTCACTCCTCTGTTTTTGCTAACAAATATAAGTATTCATTATATCAGTTATCAGAGGGTTTGATGTTGGATCCAACTATAATCTCTGCTTTTCCATTTTGTGGTTAGTTTCCTCTGACCATTTCACTTATTTTACCTAATGTGAAGTCTCAGTTCCCTTTTAGATTATACTTTCACCTGAAATCCCTGCACTGATCTCTACACAATTATTAGGATTATTCTTGATGTAAATACCCTCTCACATTTAGCATATAGCAATTATTTCAAGCAATTTTTGATTTGTGTCATCACTCTTTATATCTGTGTGGTACAAGCTGTCAAATGTGTGACCCTTCGATAGACCTCATTCTCTTGATGTTCTAAAAGGGATATCTTTCTTTACGTTAGCTGGTGAAGCTGTGCAGTGGGATGATTGAGGCCGGCAGGGCCTACGTCAGCGCCAATAAGCTCTTTGTCAATGGCATCAAAGACCTGTCCCAGCAGTGCAAGAAGGAGGAGATGATATCGGTACGTATCCTGAGGCCACAAAACTAAGCTCTGATCAGTTCATGAAATCAAGAATAGTTGACCGCTTATCCATCTTTGGAAGAAGATTTATGTGAATAATAACTGCACAGCACCGAACACTGTAAGGACAGAGCTGTCCAGTTGATGTCAGGATGAAAGAAGTGACCATATGCAGACAGGAAGTGCCTCAAGCAGAGAAATCCGAAACCAGCTTTTACAGGGAAATATGTGGAAAACAGCAGCTGCAAACCATTGTTTCTAAATGTAGAACTTTTAAATCTCGAGTAGTTTCAGATATTGCATGGGTCAAACATAGATTCCGTGGTTAGTACAGACACACACAGTAAGACTACAAAAAGTGAAGGATCTTCATTTGGAGACCTGAGCTTACACTGGACATGTCCGTGTCTGTTGGCAACTTTGCAGGAATGTCTTGAAAAGTGTGGGGAAAGCCTTCAGGAGATTGTCAACTACCACATGGTAAGTCAGTTTTATGCACACACACTCACACACACTGTTTTGTCCGCATGCGAGAGGTGTAGTGGCAGCTGAACACGTGCAGGTCATCCTTGCATGTTGAATCTCGTCAGCCCCTCCAGGGCCTAGCATAACACAACATCACACACAACTTACTCGCACGATTGAACTCCATCCTGACATGCTGTTGGATCTGTCCACTCTGCCTGAACCACTCTGACTTAATCTACTTGTTTGACCAGATAAGTGTGGCAGCTTAGTGAACATTCAATTTTGACAGAAATGGGGATCTGATATATCGTCACATATAATCACAAGCACTTTTTCCTGTCATCTTTTTTAAAAACGCAGACAGAGAGAGAGAGAAGGATAAGATGAAGTCATGCAGTCAGCAGCTGTAAAGTTTCAAATCATGTTAGTGACAACTTTATTTTAGTGTGTTGTTGCAGAAACAGGGAGAATATTTTCAGAAATTGAACCAACATGACTGTTTTTTGTGTTTTTCACAAAGCCCCTCTGTTTTTCTCAACAGTTTTAACATAACTGTTTCAAAACCTTTTACAATGCTGCTACAGAAAAAAAACAGTAAAACCTTTACCAGTTAAATGTATAAATTGTGTCTGTTGCCATTCAACCTCCTATTCCTCTTGGTCAGCAGATCCCTCTTCACACACTGACTCCCTCGTAATTCACAAAAGGTGTCCCAGTCCTCCACTCTAACACGCAGGAATGGTACTAACAGCTTGTCTGGCAGACAGTATTGACGTGTAATAGGATAATGGAGGAAGGGGAGGGAAGGAAGTAGTGTAAGCGAAAATCTGTCTGTTCGAGCCAACTGAAGTCTATTTCTGAAAGCACATCCTGTCGTACACAAGGCTGCAAGAAGAGTCTGCCAGTAAATCATCTGAGAATTCAGCACATTTACTTTCAAGCATATTTAAAATCTAACACAAGAATCATTTAATACTTTTTGAACCTATAAAGCTGTTAAAGTACTAAAACTGTTTTGTATGTAGTGATGGTTCGACAGTTGAAGTAAGTAAAGATGATGAACAGAATTCCTCTGTTTAAATTTCCAGTTTCTTTTGTTTCCTTATTGAAAGTACATTTTCATCCTTGTTAAATTTAGCATGTGTGTTCAACTGAGTAACTAAATGGGGGCTGAACTTAACCTTTACTTGTCTTGATTGCAGTATGATTAAATGGGTGTTTGCATCGAATATCATTGTTTATCTGCTTTCCAAATATCAAAAGTTTTCAGTCTTATAATGGGTAATGTGGAGACTGTGAGAAGCGATGGTGGGTTTGTTCACCTTTGGGAGCAGTGTACTGTCTGATGTTGAGTGAACGGTGATAATATAAGAGTCCGCACCTCAAGCTGCACATCTGTGAACCAAGATCTGATTCCCTGATGTCATCAAGCTGTGCGGGGTCATTATGAGAATGGAGGCTTATGCATTGACTGAGCCTGTAATCTGCAGTGGGTATGCAAAGGGTAAACAAGGGTTAGCTATAGAGTTTAATCCACTGGGATTGTTGTATGTGCAGTTGTGGATGTGTTATTAGGAAGCAAACACAACTGGACTGTGCTTTAATGTACAATTTGTGTGGAAGACTGATCATTTTCCATGCTGCTCAACAAGCACGAGAAAGGGAGGGAGAACAGAGGAGCGGTTTCAGGTTAAGAGACTATGGGGGAGAAGAAGTGTGGAAGAAAGATGAGGGATCCTATAGGCTTGAAATTCTTTTGAGGCAGCAGTCTGTGTGTGTGCATGTCCTCAACTCTGTTTCCTCTCCTGCTTTTGCCTGTGAACATATCTAGTGGGATAGAGGATTTCTTATGCCACCCTGTGGTAAGATTTACCTACTACAGATATGTCATTAGAGTCAAATCAAGGGCTATTTGTAAGCAGAATTATCAGTTTGTGTCAGATAAAGTCATTAGAAAAATGGCCAGTTCCATAACTGCAGTCTCTTATTGTTCATTTACCTCTTGTTTCCACCTGTCTTTGCTCCTTTACCAACAGATTTTGTTTGACCAGGCTCAGAGGTCGATCAAACAGCAGCTCCATACCTTCATTAAAGAGTGAGTATCTCACCACGGTCAGTGGAATTTTTTCCTCCCACTGCTTGTAAAAAGACCAAAACAAAAAGTCAAATTTCAAGTTATTTTGAATGGGTTATCCCTGCCCTGAACCAGATCCTAATGTAACATATTAAATATGCATGTGTTTCGTTTGTGTGTTCTATATGTAATGTCTGCATTTGGAAAAGCTACCTTTAAGATTTGTACTCTGTCATCCTGTTAGTCTGATAATCATTTAAAAAAGCAAACCATATTGTCTAAATGCTAACTTGATTAAAATGGCATGGTAAGCGTTCATTCTGCTCCACCAGGGACGTACGCAAGTTCAAAGACACGAAGAAACAGTTTGACCGAGTGCGTGAGGACATGGAGCTGGCTCAGGTGAAGAACGCCCAGGCTCCCAGGAACAAAGTGCACGAGGCAGAGGAGGCCACTCAGGCCCTTGTCCTCAGCCGCAAAGCCTTCAGGCATCTGGCTTTGGACTACGTGCTGCAGGTGAGTCTCACTTCCTCAAACCCCAGCTCATGTTTCCAGCCTCATCCAGCAGGTGGCACTAACACTCAACCAGTGCGGACCTGATCTGTCAAACCTATCTAACTGAGATAGGATGTTTCCTTGTAATCTATATGATCTATTTAGTTACTCCAAGTACACACAGTTTAAAATGAGTACCTGATCATCCTCTTTGCTTTTGATAGATTAATGTCCTTCAGGCAAAGAAGAAGTTTGAAATTCTGGATGCAGTAAGTAACTCGTCCTCCACTTTGCACGGGCAGCCAAACTCACCCAGTGGTGTTCTGTGAACACATTTGGACCCTGATTTCTCTTCTCCCTCTGTCTCTCTCAGATGCTGTCCTTCATGCGAGCCCAGTATACACTGTTTCAGCAAGGCTTTCACATCCTGGATGAAATAGACCCCTATATGAAAAAGTTGGCAGCACAAGTAAGCTAAAATAGACAAAGCATCGGGTAAATGATGTGTTCTGGATAACAGCTCCTATGACTAATTGTCAAAGCTGTTGAGCTGTTTTTTTCCGAGTCATCTGTTTTTGAGTTGTGACTGTTTTGTGTAATCTTGAGTCCTCTTCCGCTGACTGTCCATCTGCTGTATGCAGCTTGATCAGCTGGTCATCGACTCAGCCATGGAGAAGAGAGAACTGGAGCACAAACATGCCCTCATCCAGCAAAGAGTGAGAAAGAAACATCTCTCTTCATTATTTTTTGCCTTCTCATCGTCCCAGTTTCACTTTTCCCTTCTACTGTCACTGAATGCCACCAATGTCTGTCACCACTTATCTAATAGCTGAAGCTTTTTCTCTGGCAAAACATACACAATTGCACTCACTTTTGATGAAAGCCTTTATGTTAGACTTCATCAGTTCTTTCATGAAGGCAATTTGGTGAAAACCAAAACATGATCATGGTGCAGAGTCTGAATGTGCAACAGCAAAGTCTTTCCAAAGCACACAGTAATGACAGTAATTGTTTTTTATGTATATTTACATATATGTGTGTGTGTCTGTGAATCGTAATAAAGAGAAACTAGCCAAATGTTAGTTAAAGAGGACTTTGGTAGGGTGAGGCCGACATGTTAATGGAGCCAGCCAACCTACTTCATGTCATGTTGAAAGTGGCAAAGATATCTTAATCACAGCGTGTCATGCCCAGAAATTGAACCTGGAAATCCTGATCAATTTGTCATTGTTAGGTTTTTGTTTAACTGCGATGTAACATTACTTTTTCAAATTCAGTTTTGAAACTGCATTGAATACTTAATGTCCTGAGCTCCAAAAGTGATCAAGTGCACCTGCCTCTTTTTTTAAAATGGAAACCTTCATCACATTTAACCTGTTATCTTCAAAGATTCTTTACCGCATATGCCAGGCATACCTGTCTGTCAAAGTGCACACCAGCTCCCCCAACACATGCGAAACTGGATTTCTTTTCAAGGCAGTTAGCAGTGGAACAGAGCGGTGTTAGTTGGAAATGTTAAGTTGTTTTTTGTATTACTTTGGAATCGGATCAGATTCTTGTTTCGGTTTTCTAAACAATGTGGGCATCCATTTCTAATAGCTCCTGCCCTTGTCACATTCATGCATAGATTCACAAAAGTCATCCATCTGTTAAAAGGAAGAGCATGCCAGAAACGTGATTATTCTGCCTGACTTGGCCTTTGTTGGTGATCAATTTAGATGCCAAGTGAAGTCACGTTGCTTTGTGCCCTCATGAACTTTAAGTAGGCTTTCCTCTCAGCACGGAAAAACAATTCCACAGTTTTTGCTCCTCATTTTTTCCTTTCCATTATTTGAAATGTTTCATGAAAAAAATGCTGTGTTCCATGGAAATAATGTGTCTGAAAGAGCTTTGTGCTTTATATATGTATGTGTGTACATACATATATATATATATATATATATATACACACACACACACACACAAGTTCATACTTGCTTATGTACTCATATACTTGTGTCTAAAAACATTTTCTTTTTGACATTTTAGACTCCAAAGCTGATTATTGAAGTAAAATTTTCTTAATGTATTTTGCAAAGTAGTTGTGTTCTTTATGTAATCATATTTCTCTCTCTTGTTCGCACCCTTGGATGACATTGGTTGTTTTCCTCCAGACTCTGATGCAGGTGAGTTTCCCTTTTTTTCCACTTTTATTGTTGTTTTTTATGTATTACTTTCTGGACTTTTCAACCTATTGAAAGAATGAGGAAGCACTGCAAAAAAATAAAATAAACCTTCACTGCTCCACAACAATAAGAAGATCACAATCTATTTTTGCTATAAATAGTGGTGCAAACTACTCAAGGGGTGCTCATAGCTTTCCACTCTTTGCTTCTCCATTTGATTAGTTTGTGTTAGATATGAATAAAACTGATACACGCCATGTCATGTTTTATTATTTACCTGAATCAGCTTTATTTGAAAATCTTGTCTGAACCAGATTAACATTTTTTACTAATGAAGTAGAAAAGTATTTGATTTAATGAACTGTCTTTGTACAAGCAGATTTATTTTTGTCTCTTTGATTTTTGTGCTTTCTTATTTTAGATTGCCATAGCTTTTCCTCATACCTCTCTAGCACGATAACAATAAGCCAACCACGGCTTTTATGTTATTATTACATATGCCCACACAAACACTCTCCATTTTTCTGCCTGTTTTCTTCTTTGAAACACTTTGTGTTTTCCTTGATGTCCTTTTTTTGTGCTTCTCAAGAATGTAACCCAGGGTGCCTGTCAAGAAGCTATCACTGATATAGAAGCATGAAATAGTCTGGTTTCGTCTCCGTATTTTTCCTACTTCCTTACTTTACTCTCTTGTTTTACAGATTTTCCAGATGCTTTTTTATCTTGGTAGTTCTTGTTTGACACTATTGGTTTTTCTCAAATCATTCACAAATTGGAAAACAATGTCAGTATTTTTACTTGATTTCCCTTTTTGTAAACTCCGCAATCAGTCAGATAATTTAGCGTATTGCATATTGGAGTGTTGAAAGTTTGAACTTTTTCTTGTGGAAGTGCAGATCACCATTTAAGCTTCCCCAAGAGGTCCTCCACCACAGTTATGTGCAAGGAAAGCAAACTTGTGCTTACATTAGCTTTATTCTCTGATAACAGACAAAAATAATGAAACATCACCAAACCCAGATATTAGTTATATATTTTCCAGATACAGACAGTCCTAACAAGCACACAGAAAGGGTAAAATGTTCTGAACACAGCTGTCTTAGCTTTTAGGTGCTACCCACTTTTAGATTACAGCCCTGCTATTCATGGTGCCAAAAGGTCCTCATGGATTGGAGAGATGTGTCCGTGTGTGATGCCAACCTCAATCCACTCCCTGCTTCACCCACTGCCAGTTCGAAAGAAAATCAGCAGATGGCACGAAGAGGCACAGCAGAGGGTTTAATGAGAGGTCGAGCAGTAGAAAAAAGAGGACAAAGAGAGCAGGATGGGTACATAGGAAAGGAGTTAAAGATCCAGACGCTTAGTGGGTGTGGTAAAAGAAAAAAAGAAAAGCTGCTGATACCGGAGAGGTGACTGTTAGCAATAACCTGAGTGGAAATTTTCTCATGAATGGGCTTTACTGGAAGTCAGATGTCAGACAGCCTTCCAGAGAAAGATGAAATCACATGGCATTTTATACAATGTTGCTGGAGGCGAC